TTAGGTTATTCTTATAATATTTAATTAGCAACTAGCTTGGTCGGATATTTATTTCTAACCTTTACCTTGCTTGTCCCCACCCTTGTTCTTGTGTAACCCCCCACCCCCCCCCCCCCCTTCTCTCTCCCCCAAATAAATTTCAAGAGTGTTTGACTAAGTTCGTGTAACTTTGTGCAACCCCAGAAGATTTTTATCACATTCGACCTATGCTGCTCGACACGGGTGCGGGTGTCCGACACGGGTGCGGATCTAGAGGTCGGATCCTTCGAGATGTAAATTCTAAGACTCGGAGATGCGGACCCTAGTACGGATACGGGTGCGGGGATCTGGCTAAAAATAATTTTAAAAAATATCTAAATTATGAGAAATTTTGAGGAATACTTTTGTATAGCTTATAAAGTGTGGATTTCTTTTTTAATCTCAGGTTGTAGATAAGTAAATGATAGATTTCCTAGATAAGATATGCTATGTTCTTCCCTAGTTTTGGTTCTAGTTTCGGGAATCAAATTGTATTTCGTCTCGAATTTTTCCGTCCGTCGTGGTCAAAGTAACCAAAATTGTTTGACCAGATCCGATACGGATCTCATACCCACACCCATACTAGTGTCGTGTCGACACCTAAACTGCTGTGTCGGAGCAACTTAGCGTTCGACCATTCAATTCTTTTAGGGTAAAGGGGCACATTTTTTCCCTGCACTATCCGAAATGGTTTAAATTTGCCCTCCATTAATAGTTTGGGTCAAATGTGTCCCTGCCATTACCAAAATACGCCAGATTTGTCCTTATTTTCAAACGGTAGACATTAGTCTCTAATGAGTAATGACATTGTTTATCTCTTGGTTCTGCCACGTGTCAACCACGTCGCTCAATTTAAACCCACCCCTTTTTACCAGCCCCTCCCCTCCCCTTTTTACACCCCCAATATCCCCAGCTAAAAATCCCGAACCTACTGTAGCGTTTACCAGATCGATAAAATTGTAAAAAGTCAGTTCAATAGCTTACAACAATTAAACCACTTTGTTATGGACTAATGTAACTCTTTTTTCAAGTTAAAAGGTTTGCTGTTTTACTGATACAAATTAAAGAAAGATTTTGTTCTGACCTATAACTTTGTCAATGCTCAGTCATTTCCACTTCATTTTGTCCATGTTTATTCGTTTTCTTTGTGTCAGCATGCTGGAAGTTGTGCATGAGCAGCTTCAGCACAAGGTATATTGTAGTTGGTATGCTGTGCTTATTTCCATGACTTTTGCATTAGGAACATCTCAAGGTTATTGTGCTGACAGATGACTAGTTCCCTTTTTGCAAATATGCCATTTATGAACTTTCCATCAGTATTATTGATCTGAGTTGCCTCTTAGTGATCTTCAAAAATCCAGTAATCCTGACTAATGATCATAATCAGCCTTCTCTTTTTCCTGGCGACTTTCCTTCCTTGAATAGTTTTTTTTGCTCCAACTAGTATGTATCATTTAACATTTTCTCCTTATGATAAATTTGCTCCATTGGTATTACCTATTTTAGGTAGTTGATATCATATATTTCTTCAGGATAAGTAAGATAAGTGTACTGCCATTTGCATAAATATAACTCCCATGTTTCACAACACGGATGAGGTTGCGACGAGTCCTTACTCTAGACGTGAATGAACCTCTCCTTATTATCTTTCGGAGATACCTCAATATAGCAAGATGGTCAATTATATATGATCAAATTCTTAAGCCTGAAGAAGGCCATTTTGAGGCTGTAGAAGATGACGCTACAAATTAGCCAAGTTTCTAAAGAAGTTGCTAGAAGCTTTTGTAATGGCAGAAAATTTGCCTCATCAATGTATAATTGTACTAGCTACTAGTACCAAAGTTATTGTTTATTGAAGTTTTCTTAGGAATTATTTAGGATGTGAGATTATGTAAAACTAATATGAAGAGAACATTTGGCATATTGAGCCAGTTTTCTGTCAGATGTAGTTCCCACATTAATTCCTGTGGCCATCTGGTATGATGTTATGGACTTCTCGTCTTAGCTGTGGACCTTGCAATATGCAGATACTATACTGATCCTTCTGGAACATTCTGGCAATGCAATGCAAAAGCTATTGGTTCAGGTTCTGAAGGTGCTGACAGCTCTTTGCAGGAGCAATATAACAAGGTAACTTCTTAATTAGTTTGCATATCTCATCCTAATGAAATTATGAGTTGGCTTTATACAATGACTCCAGCCTTTCGGGCTGTTTGTTGGTTGATGCTACTGACTTCCTCAGTCCTCAACAAACACACAACACCAACACCCCCCCCCCCCCCCCCTTAAAACCACCCCGCGGCCGCCAGGGAAAGAAAGAGGATAAAGCCAATAAACATGCTCCAACTAAACTAAAGTTGTTGGTAGCAGACTGCTATATTCTTGAAGTAAGCCTAATAAAGGTATTATATGATTTTAAAAGTGGATTTCACTTCTACCTGTTTGCTAATTTTGCAGGACCTTACCCTTAAAGAAGCTGAAGCCATAGCACTCTCTATTCTTAAGCAAGTGATGGAAGAAAAGGTAAGTTTCATGTTACTGTATTTTTTATGCAGACTTGTATGCTCCACTTATCTATTTATGGAAAATTATCCACCATATGATGCCAGGTGACTCCAAATAATGTTGACATTGCAAGGGTATCTCCAACTTACCATCTCTACTCACCTTCTGAGGTGGAAGATGTTATCAGCCGCCTATAAGAAAGCTCTACTTATTCTCATCACCAACTTTTTCTTATAACAACGCTTGCTTTGTAGTCTTGCTACATATCCTGGAATATATTTTTCTTCTTCGCAAGGTTGAAATGATGGAGATCCTGGCTTAAGATTTGATTTAAGACATAAGGTCCAGCCTGTGTTCTGTTGTTCCTGGATGAAGTTCTATTTGCTACGTGCTGCAGGATGTACTTCCTAGTTAATTTGGTATTGAAACTTGTCTGGAGATTTGAAATCCTTGATCTCTTATGATGCCACATAATTCTTGTCATAGTTTCTACTCAGGTTGTGACTGTTCTAAAGATGGAAAATAGCACTTTGGAACATTGTCCACGTTCAATATCATTGACTAAATTTAGGTACTGTTTAGGGGAAGAATGACACAAAAGGGACTCCTTTGGGTTTGTGTTTAAATTTTGTCCCTGAAATTGACAGTATTACGGAAATAAGGACGTGCGCTTAATGAACATATTGCGAACAAAATTACCCCTCAATGTAAATAAACCAACTCTAAATCACAGCTTTCTTCCATAAAACACGATGGACTCTTTCTCTAGCAAAAACAAAGGTATGCGACGATGGTGAAGTTTTAAATATATTCACTGTATGAGTCAAAATTCGACCCACGATAATTAACGAGGCTAATCCCGTTTTAAGTTAATTCATGATTAATTAGTGGCACGCCCACTCAGAATTAATTATATTCAACCCTCATCTGATTCGATCAACAAGGCCACAGCCCATCCGCCACCATGAAGGCGAAACCCCAACGTGGTCACGGCCACTTATTGCCAGCTAACGAAGCTCACAGCTATAAATACCAAGAGAGGAAACCCCAGGAAGGGGGGGGGGGGGGCTGCTTCTTCACCACCAGTGAGAGGAGAGAGAATCGAGAAAATATACCCCTCTTATGGGAAAAAAAAACACCATTGTAAGGTTCGGAACCTCTCCATGGAGAGGCAGACCAAACAAATATTATCAATAAAGGTTTCTAATGCTTCTACCCTTATTCCTGAGTACTTATTTTCGTTTCTTTCATTGGGTCCAACGGATTATTACGATTTGCTATGATTATCCCGTGATTTGTTTATATTGTTTTATACTCGTAAGTTTGGTAATAACTTTTGAGCAAATAANTTGGGGATTCCGTGCCACGCCGGATACGCCTCCTCCAACGCCCCGGCCCTCGACGAAGCATCCCTCACTTGAAGCTTCAATGCCGCGACCTCACCCTCAAACGCGGTCACTTTCCCGCTCCATGTCGCAGCGGCCTCCGCCGCCTTGGCCTCGCCCCGGCGTTCGCACTCAGCTGCGACCCTCTTCACCGCTTCGAGCTCCTCATTCTTTCGGCGGAGCTGCTCCTCGAGGGCACTCGTCCGGCCAAGTATTTGCTGCGTCTGAAGCTCCCGCCTCGCCAGCTCTTCGACCAAGGCCCGACTGCGAGGATCATTCCTCAAGCGCACGCGCAACTCTCGGCACTGATCTCGGTAGCGGTGATACTTCTCCAGCGCCCGCAAAAATATCCCCAAGCGGACCTTGGCTCGACGGATGCTCTCCACTTCCAACAGATAAGACTGCAAAGCAAAGACGACGATTAGAATAAAAGAATAAACCTAAGGCAAAGAAGAAGCGAACCGACGTAACAGTACATACCCTCAAGCCCATCACGGCTACCTCATTCATCAGCCCGACATCCGTAACGCCCCTCAACGACGCATTCTCGGCCTCCGAGCATAGCAGCTCGAACTGCGGCACCAAGTCGGATTCATACGTGGAGCCTTCCTGGAACATACGGACGTCGTCGGGATCCAGGTCGGATTCAGACTCATCCTCACCCACATCAGCAGCCGCTGAGGAACTACCTCCCGTCTCAGCGACTGGAACCACCAATCGAGTCGCCGAAGCGACGGTATCATCACGGCCTAAGCCATACGGGGCAACCCCCATTGATTGTCCGCCCTCGAGGGCAGGCGCCGCAGCCGCATTCCTCTCCGCGTCCGCCGGCGGGGAACCCAAATTAATTACCACAGGAGGAGCCGGCGCGAACGCGACCCTACGCCTTATCAACGGCCTCTCCTCCTCCCCATCTGATGACAATTCCGCTCTAGGGCGCGCTACCCCCGATGGCCCCTCGTCCCGAAGTAGGGTCCGTGATGGAGAAGAAACCGCTGAAGACTCGACTGATGCCGCCCTCGGTGTTGAGCACGACACCGGCGCTGCAGTAAGCCGAGCAACTGCACCAGGACGACGGAAGGCCAGCTGAGGGGCCCTGACGCGGCGTGCCCTCCCTAATCACAAGACAACAAGGTTGACGAATAGAGTCGAAACAAAGCAGAACCTAAGAAGAAATCAATTTTTTACCTGCCAAGGGCCTACGACCATGCCTCTCCCAGAAAAACGCCCATGTGCGTATCCCCCGCGTATGAGGGAGTACAGCCTCGACCCACTCACGTATCCAAGACAATGGGGCTGGCGACGACCTGTCAGCTACAAAAAAGACACAAGTTAACGCCCATGATCACAAATCATAAAGAGGGAAAGAAAAAGGAATTCAACCACTAAAGAACTTACGTGCATGGTTCCAAGCCTCTGGGAACCCAGTAGCATCCGCCACCAGGTGCTTGGTCCTGATGTAAAAGAAGTGCTCGAAAGGGCGAGGGTCGACCTCGTCATCCAACTTCATGACCAGGCCCCTCGACCCACGAGGGCACGCCTGAATCATGGTGCCGCGGACTCTCTGGGGAGCGTAGAGACTCAGCACATGCTGCAGCGTGACCTCCCTACGGGCCAATTCCGCGTACTTGATGAACATTGCCAACAATTTGTAGAGGGAAGGAGTGAGCTGACCCGGGCATACCCCATAATAACGGCAGAAATCCACCACCAGCATTGGGAGCGGGATCTTGAACCCCAACCTGAAAGGATAGGCGTAAAAAATGCAGTATCCCCGGCGATCGGTGTGGACCCTCTCCTCGCTTCTAGCGAGAACAATGTCTGCATGGGTAGGAACGACCCCCTGTTCTCGTAATCGGGCCATCCCAATCTCCTCCATTAACGGGGCTTCATCCACCGGTTCCTCTCCACCGTCGACGGTGAAATCAATCGCCAGACCTCCGGGCCGAGGAACCACCTCGTCAACCAACGGAATTTCGCCGGACTCCATCTGTTCTGCACCTCCTATCGCCGGAGATGGCCCTCCGACTACCGGAAAATCTACCGGAAGAGCACCGTGGGAAGAACTGCCTGCCATTGTTGATCTACTGAAGACAAATGTTATCACAATCAAAGGAAAGAAAAGAGAAGATGAATTAGCGAAATGAAAAAGTTTCCTCAGAATCTCTCTCTCAGATGAACAAAGAAGATATGAGAAATGAATGCCTCAACCCACCTTTATAGGCAACATAAATGACTTTCGCGAAACCCAATAGCCATCATTAACTGCACGACCAACCGTAAAACGGTTCGGTTCTGCCGAAGAAAGCGTCATTATGACGAGCTCCGCAAAGCGGCTTCTCAGCCATCCGCCAACATACCGCCGTCGGAACGATCTCTACGACCTGTGAACGCTGAAAGAATGTGCCGTACGCCGTTAAAATTTTGGACTTGACCAAATACCTACCCGGCGCATACTCATTCCCTACGGCCATCCTCAATAAATGAAAGGCTACGGCCGTCTCCAATATATAAAAGGCTACGACCATCCTCAATATATGAAAGGCTACGGCCGTCCCCAATATATAAAAGGCTACGGCCATCCTCAATATATGAAAGACTACGGCCATCTCTAATATGTGAAAGGCTACGGTCATCCTCAATATATGAAAGGCTACGGCCATCTCTAATATGTGAAAGGCTACGGCCATCCTCAATATATGAAAGGCTACGGCCATCTCTAATGTATGAAAGGCTCTCCAATGTACGAAAGGCTACGGCCATCTCCAACGTGTAAACGGCTAAAGCCACCGCCGCCAATAAGTCGACCCCCTTATTCGAGTTGTTTTCAAATCACAATCGATGAAGTCCGCTCATCGAGCTCGGCCGAAACACGACCTCAATAAGCGGAGGGACTAACTGTATGAGTCAGAATCCGACCCCACGATAATTAACGAGGCTAATCCCGTTTTAAGTTAATTCATGATTAATTAGTGGCACGACCACTCAGAATTAATTATATTCAACCCTCATCTGATTCGATCAACAAGGCCACGGCCCATCCGCCACCATGAAGGCGAAACCCCAACGTGGTCACGGCCACTTATTGCCAGCTCACGAAGCTCACAGCTATAAATACCAAGAGAGGAAACCCCAGAAAGGGGGGGGGGGCTGCTTCTTCACCACCAGTGAGAGGAGAGAGAATCGAGAAAATATACCCCTCTTATGGGAAAAGAAAACACCATTGTAAGGTTCGGAACCTCTCCATGGAGAGGCAGACCAAACAAATATTATCAATAAAGGTTTCTAATGCTTCTACCCTTATTCCTGAGTACTTATTTTCGTTTCTTTCATTGGGTCCAACGGATTATTACGATTTGCTATGATTATCCCGTGATTTGTTTATATTGTTTTATACTCTGTAAGTTTGATAATAACTTTTGAGCAAACATTCACTATATTTAGATTGATAAAAAAAATCAGCCAGATTCTCAAAGCAAGCTGAAGCCAATTTCATATATAATTTTGGTGCAATCCTCTGACAGAACAGTTGAGCTTGAAGTGAATCTACGTAACAATATGTTTCAGATGATCGAGATCATACCACATAGGCGTACCTTACCTTACAGTCTGCAGTCGTGCATATTTTTGGGACTGTCAAAACATGTATAAATGTTTACCCTAAAATCCGAGTAACAATTAAACTTGTATTGTGATTTTAAAGATACGTGATTTAATCCAATACTAATTGATAAACGAGGAATCTAATGTATAAATTAAAGAATAAAGTAAGTCAAACCAACGTATAAGCAGACCTCGACCTCGAACAATGGCAACCTCGAGGTAGGCGAATAAGAACAATAAAATAATAAGGCAAGTCATATGAACAGTAGGCAAGAAAGTGAAATATGTATATTCTCTTCTCAATGATTGATCGTTTTACAAATGATTGGGATCCCCTTTATATAGTGGGGGAATCCTAAATAAGGTACCTTTCTAATTACAGTAGGGAATCTTTTTATACAACTGTCTAACCGCCTAGTACAAATCCGTTCCGGAATTCACGCCATGATCTTAGGGCCTCCGCGGGAATCTCGCTCTTTCTGTTATAAAACCATAACGGTATTATCTCGAGCACTTCGATCTTCGAGACCTACATTCTGCCATCAGGCTTCGAGACCTGCATTCTGTTCATTGAGCACTTCGATCTTCGAGACCTGCATTCTACCATCGGGCTTGAGCCCGGTCCACATTGAACTTGTTCTCGACGTGACCCATCGAGTCTACAAAATTGGGGACACCTGATTTTGACAGTATACAGATAGTCCCCGCGTTTCTTAGAATAAGATGATAAGAAACGACTTGAGCCTCGATTTTCCAGAGTCCTTGTGATGACATCATTTCACTGACGTAGGCGCTTGAAGTAACCGAAACGTCCCGTCGGTTCGCTTCCCGAAAACATTAAATGCTTCACCAGTGGTGGTCGGCCACTAGCGCCGTAAAAACGTCTCCGCTTGTCTATAAATACAAGGCTCAAATTCGAATAAAAAACTTTACTTCCATCTTCAAACCACCTTCAAACTTCCATCACCTCTTCCCCTCTATCTTTCTTTCTCATCACCTGTTACTCTCGCCCTTTTAGTGCCAAAAGATATCAAGCTCCGCCTATTTCTGCTTCCTCTAACTCGAATCAATGGCGAAAACCTCCAAAATAGTTTCTTAAAAGGAGAAAGCTTCCTCCTCCTCTTCCCGGCCGGCCGGTGATAAAGTGCCGGCCCTTCACGAGATTATTCCCGGCCCCTATGTAATAAAGAAAGACTTCAGAGTCGAAAATCCCCCCGCGATTCCTGGTCGATGCGAGCATGTATCGAGGTATATTTGCTCGATAACGGAGAAGCACCTCAAGGCCATGAAGAAGGACTGTGGCTGGGGGGACAAGGTCGTGGTACAGATCACCGCCCCCGAGGAGAGTATCACTACTCACGTGGAGGGTTTTTTAAGTTTTTACACTTACCCCTTCACGTCGGGTCCCCTCGATCCAATTGTGATCGACTTCTGCAAGAGGTATCAGGTCACCTCGGCTAGATCCACCCTTCTTTCTGGCGTATAGTTATTATGCTTCGCTATTTCTCCAGCAAGGTCGAGGGGCTAGGGTTCACCCTCAATCACCTCATCCGATTGTATCGGCCTCAGTTTTTTCGTAGGTTGATCAAACTCCAACGCCGATCGACCAAGGCCTTCTTCGCTAGTAATGACGAGGATAAGGACCGGGGCTGGATGAGTCGGTTCGTACGAGTGAGGACCTCTGACGTCATCCTGGAGGGAAAAATGCCGTTCCTGGAGAAGTGGAATCCCGATCGTAAGTGAAGTTTTTTCCCTAGTAGCTTCTATTATTCTGTTTTCGCATTTTGTGATGCCTTCGTCTTTTTTGCAGCGGTTGCTTGAATGCCCCATGAAGGTTATAGTTGTTATTCCCTCACTAAATTAATGCAAATTAGTTGGAGTATATAGATAACATATATGGAATCATAGAGACTTTAATTTACTTTCAGGTAGTGGAATAATATAAATTATATTATTTGGAGGAATTATAACTATACTCTAAAGTAATTATGTCATTTTGAGATCATATGAAATAAAATGTGAAACTTTTATTTAGATATTGTTGTGGCTTTTATTAAAGGTTGGAGACATAAATGTGATGTCTCTTGTGATGATGAAGAATATATCTCTGAGTTACTGGAATCCATATTGACACTATATGATAAATATTTCAGGTAGATGTCCTTATTCATGATAACATATGCATGTTACATGTGGATTATTACACATTAATATTATATTGTGCTCTTATAAACTATATTCTCTTCAAATTATTTATAACCCTAAAATTATGTGGCGAAAAAGGAGTACTAATTAAGTTTATAGAGTGTTATGTGTCTCATATAATAGTAGAGTCAAACAACAACTGAATAGACACAAGATATTTAAAAAAATAAATAAATCTTTGGTAGAATATTTACTGTTTAATGTAATTACATGAACGGTGGATCGTTTTGACATTACATATTTGGCACTGTATCTTTTGAATAAATCAAGACCCTTTAGTCAACATCTTGTATATAGGTTTATTGTTAAGAAACCGCACAATTTACTAAATTATGTACAACATGATTTAATATACACGTGCAACGCACGTGCCGAGAAACTAGTAGTAATATAAAGATATTCAACCTTCCTTTCATTTATAGTCTCAAATGCCAACCACTTTGGCTAATACTTTTAAAACTCAAAAAATTCCTTTTGAGACTTACTACCACCAATGGCATGAATAAATTTATTTATTCGGGTAGTAACAAAGTGGCTCTTTTGGAGCTCTCAATTAATTTTATACTACACGATCTTTTATCACACCATCCAAGTGTTAAATATCTCCTCCACTGAAAAAATTATATTATTATTATTATCATGGTCAAAAGCAAATTCATTCTTGCTTTTTTTCATGTAGCCACATAGTAATGTTCATTATCTTTATTTTTCTCAAACCTCCCGTAGAGGTATGTTGTAGTATTTATTCAACTATGCATAAACACATTCTTATGCATAATTTGTATGACATATATATTTTTACATTCACTTTCAGAAATGAGTCCGCATTTACAATGTTTATCACAAGTCACATTTTCAAGGAATGGACCATAATCATTTGAACGTGCCTCATATTTAAAGGTCACATTGATACACATTTCCTTCACCTTTGAAGGATTATTTTGAGAAATCTTATTGTTCTCCTTTTTACAATTACCATAATGATGACTATTATTATTTTGATCTTTGGCACACCCACGTTTATTGGTCAACCACTTGTCTTCATTTATACTTATTATGCACCGCTATCACATTAATTCACTTCATGAATGGAGCAAATCAAGTTGGACAAGCTTCATATTTTTTCATGAAAAATACATTATTTTTCTTTATTCATCATTCTATCATCAATATGGTGCATTGAGACTCAAATCCCAATATCTTACCCATATAAAGACATGTTAGGCCATAATGAGTTGGGACTCGAACCCAACTCTTATCATCATGGTGCACCAAAAATCAAACCCATTGCCTTATTCTCATACAATGACATAATAAGCCAAAATGAACTCACCCTTGAGCCTACATGATATACTACTTTCTAATGGTCAGTTATTTTTTGCCCGAACTTTAGTAAGAGTTTGCATGGATCTTTTTCACGAACAACCACATGATTAAATATAAAGGGAATAGAACTATCTTAGTCACACAAAATTTATTTTGACCACAAAATAAATTTAAATTCTTTTTCTTTTTAAGATTAATTAGAAACCTTCTCAATAGTTAACAGTTCCAAAATCTTGGCTTGCAAACTATCGGAGAAGTACACATGGGAGATGATGTCAAGGCATCGAAATATGCTCTTATTTGCTATTCGAAAGCAGAGGTACTCAATATATATACATCTGCACAAATGAAACTAAATTATTAAGTAACACAAACTAGACCAAGTCTTAAATATTAACGTAAGTTAATTGCAGAATTCATGGCAATTGAAAAATGACACTCCCAGTATAATAGAAGCAAACATAACATTGATATGGCACACGAGATGCCCAGATTTCCATAGGCTCAACCAAATTGATTGAAGGTTGTTGGCCATTCATAATTCCATCATCAAATAAGTTATCTTCTCACTTGGTTAGTGCTAGTGCTGATAATGTGTTAAGAAACTAAGTTCAAAGTAACAATATGAAACAAGGAAAAACAATAGATGTAGAGAGGAGGAGAGAGCTTTCTTATTTCATCAAGTGTTCTTCCAAGTGTGTTCAAATGTGTACAATATGATGCCCAAACCATCTATTTATAGGATAATATTGAAGCAATAAAAGGGATGTCATGAACATGCTATTAACTATTGAAATCATGGGGTAAGATCATGTAGGAGGTTATGTAGATGTGGGAGTTACAACTATAATGGTAAAAAGTAATGGGAGGTTAATGGAAAAGAGTAGTACAACTATAATGGTAAAAAGTAATGGGAGGTTAATGGAAAAGAGTAGTGGGAGTAACTTCTTTAGGAGTTATAGACATCCACTATATAATATAATATAATATTTCATAACAGAACCTCCTTAGTATTAATATAATACTTCCTTTATTTATATATAAAAAAATGTTTGGAAGTCTGAAATACGTTTCATCCCCCCCCCCCCCCCCTCTTGTACTTCCATTCATCACTGTCTACTTCTAGTTTTCAGCTATCCCCACAGGACATGTACTTGCTGCAGCCAAAAAAGAGAGACGCAAATGCAATTGTCAGTTCCCACGTTGATGCATGCGCCGAAATGCAATGTGCAAATTTTGCGATAATAATACTGAATATATCATCAGATAGCCAATTGGTTTTAACACTTAAGAAAAAGGTAACACCGGTCTGCACCTTTTTAAAATAATTGCCAGTGTATAGGAAGACTAAAAAGGGGAAATCCTTGAGAAAAACAGTTCGCAAAGCGGCTATAGATAAAACTACACCATTATAGTGAACACTTGGTCTACACATAGCCCATTGAACTCCCAATAAATTGGAATTATCAAATGCCTTTTTGATATAGTGATCAGAGGAAAAACCATGTTATTTTTTCATGGACATTGCCACCTTAAACAAATTGTGCATGTTTTGAAAGGAAAGAAAAATAGTCTCTTGCTTACATTTTGTCTCAGTAGTAAGAGATTCTGTATTGCTTTCACAAGACACATTTTCTCCAAAGTCTTCCTAAATGATGCAGTGAATCTTGTGTCTTCGTGACAATATACTATACCGATGTAAGAGGATAACAAAGTACCAAGAATTTGATACTTACAGAACTAAAACACAAAACGACTTCCAGTACCATCAAGAAATCGATCAGTATGCCACCCTTTTGCCTGCAGCTCAGCTAAAAATGGGGAGAACACAGAATTCATCTTCTCATAAGCCTCTTGTGAGATATTTGTACTTGGTTCCCTAGCTAATCGTTCCATATCTGAAGCATAAGCAGCAACCATCCAACCCCTCAGTGCATCTTCACCAGTTGCATCGTGCTCCAGTATCATATCAGTCCATCTACTTCCACGGTTTAAAAGGAACTTTTCCTCCGGAAATGTTTCTTTAAATTGTCGCAGCTTTGAAGGGCTAACTACTTCATGCAGAGACCTTCCCACCTTCACATTTCCAGCATCCTCTATCAGCCTTCCAGGAAATACGAGATTTTCTTGATATCTTAGGTCAGCAGGACTTGAGATTTTTCCAGTCTAGATAATATAATAGAGAACTCAGTTAATTGAGATGGTATTCGATCTGTCTCACCTTTGCAACTTTAGATATGTACCTTCACAAATTCGGCAACAATCATTGCAGTTCTCTGCGGATTTAATGTGTTGACAGGAGTAGCTCGCATTTCTTCACAGACACTGTAAACGTGCATAATAGACAGCAGCGGCGCAACAACCAACTGCAGGGTATTCAATATTTTCAGAATCGGAAAGGACCCTCTAATCAACTGCAATAACAACTCAACACTGCGAACCTTACATGACAAGCCACTTCCTTGCGTTCTCTACAAGTAATTGGGCTAAACAGTCTACATGATTGTATTACCATGCTCTGGTAAAAACTGAGCTCAGCAGGGAGTAGAAGCCAAAGGACCCCTGGAACAAAAGTTCCTACAATTTCATTTTACTCATCTTTGAGGTTTGGGAAGCAGACATACCAAGAATGTCTAGTAACTTTTTCAAGTCTGTGATTTTGGACATCTAAGGACACAAATTCTTCTTGTACTTCTACCAGCTTGAGGTTTGTAAGCACAACAATGGAAAATAAATTTAGATAGCTACAGAGAGAAGCATACATGGGATTTCATTAACTTAGGTACAAAGATCAGACTCAGCTAACGCTAAGATGACATCAACAAAAGGAATATGACAACCAATATAACTGATGTTACCATCACTCTTACTTGATTACTACTTTCAGAAGCATTATCAGTAGGCTCTAAAGATAAAATTCTCCAACCATCTAATGACATTTTGTCCTGCCACACTTTTGCACTCCCTTTTCTCTATACTCTCTCTCCATATACACATAACAAACACTAGTATAAGTATGTTTCGAAGATTACCATTTAAATATGCTGTATGTCTTATCCTTTATATCTGCTTCATGGACAATCTAAAGAATCTTACTTGCTATAGCTTTAAATTGTGAACTCTTCATGCTACCGCCAGAAAAAGTATTCAGGGAAAACCTTGCAGCTCCTGTAAGCTGGAGCCATACCATGAGTCCACTACTCCTATAAGTACAGAGTTACAACACCAGGTGTCTATTCATCAATGTAACACATGGCATAGTTAACAGTTCACGGTGATGTCAAACCAACAATTCTGCATAGTGGATTTTATAATCGCATTAAAGTTTAATACTCCTAGTTTAGACATGATTTGGAAGCCCTATAAAAGGGTCAAAGCAACAACAACAACAACAACAAGAAGAAGCCCAGTATTTTTCCACAAGTGGGGTCTGGGGAGGGTGAGATGTACGCAGCCTTACCCCTACCCTAGAAAGACAGAGAGGTAGTTTCCGATAGAAAAGGGGTCAAAGCAGAATAAAAGAAATGTAGATAATACACCTTTAGTGGTAATAAAACAGTACCTTTCCCTGCATTGATGAACAAATATTAGATGCTAAGTGAATTCCTGCTCCGAGCCCGAGAACATTAAAAAGAGTGGAAATAGCCTCGCCTTTAGCAAATAGATCACTAAGATTTCCTTCTTTGGCAAATGAAGAATATATCGGCAATCTTGTTGCTCTAGCTGCAACAACTGCCATTCCCTGACAACTCCAAAGAAATTTTTCTCTTTTAAAAAAAATAGGTTCGTTAACATTGCTGGCAACAAGTATCTCACAAATCACAGAACAGAAGCTTAGATAATTTACAATTTTCAAAATATACCATAGTTAAGCTTTGACTAATAATATTTCTTTCACAGATAGAGAAAGTAAATGAACACTACTCCAAAAGAAGAAATATTACCCTTTCAAGGGAGATTTTATCATAAAAGAAATTGCGACGTTAGAGTAAGTCGTGTCATTCCCTCAGAGTTCTGGAAATTCCAGTTTCCTCTATACAAAGTTTTCAATCCTATTATGCTTCATATATAAAGTGTAACGATGAACGAAAAAAAGGTGGTATATAGTGTACATAAGATTAACTTCTCGATAGATCTATTCTTGTATTATATATATTGAGCAGTATTTTTTGCTCCTGCTCTATGAAACAAAACAAAAAAATGCGGTTAAAAGAATACTATTTATCAATTCAGGATAATAGCGGAGAACTTTCGAATGAGAAAAAAAAGGGAAATCATGTCTGCCAGAGGAATAGACGGAGTAACAAGAAATAAATGTATAATACAATCTACATCGGATCAATGTCGTTCATAAGTTTATAGATCTCCCTGAATAGTCCAATCAATGCACCTCTTTATTAGTACGCAGAGAAACTTACCTTTGCGAAATTGCCAAGGCCGGCTACTTCAAGAAACAGATGTGGGCATAAAGGAGACATAACCTCTAAACCAGTCCCCAAGTCATACAGAACATCAGCTGCAGCATAGAAAGCTAATATAATCAAAATCTTTATAATGTGACAGAGAAATGCAAGTAATAGAATCAATTCGTGCAGTAACAACTCCTTTAAAGAATAAGCAGAATCACAGCATAGCACAGTGCTCCATGGACATCATGTAAACCTAAAATTCTCCAACGTTTAGGCTCAGAATCCATCCGTGCACCCAAGTTGCTACATATGAGCTTTCCCACATGCTGCATGCCATCCTTTAATATCTGTAAATAAACAAAACAATCGTAACATACCTCCAAAAAAACGGAAAGGGAAATGGACAAAATAATTAAGGAGCTCATGTGTTAAGCCTGCCAACTAGATAAGAAAACTTACCCAGCTCACTGCAGTTGCTTGAGCAGGAGTAGGACGCAAGCCTGCAGCAAATAGCAGTGACTGCAAAGGAGTAATGCTTAAAAATACCATCATTTTAACATATGTATTATGTATTTAGGTATTAAGAGCAAAAGGCAATTTCAGCCAGCACTATATAATATAGTGTTTCTCTCTGAGTGCGTGTTTTTTTTTTTTTAAGATAGTACAGTTAAAAAAATTTTATGAAGCCGCAAAAAGTTTAGCAGTCTGTGAGAATCTTCATAGTTAGAAGAAGACCTGAGTCGACAAAACAGATAATGCTGCACTTGTGAAGTGTTGCAGTGCTCGAAATTGTGTGTATCTCAGATAGCCCTCATTCACACTGCAGAAGCAATCAAGAGCAGCTATTTACATTACATATTCAAGAAGCTTATACGAAGGGGAACCTTGGCGTAACTGGTAAAGTTGCTACCATATGACCAGAAGGTCACGGGTTCAAGCCGTGGAAACAACCTTTTGCAGAAATGCAGGGTAAGACTGTGTACAATAGACCTTTGTGGTCCAGCCCTTCCCCGGACCCCACGCATAGCGGGAGCTTAGTGCACCGGGCTGTCCTTTATTCATGAAGCTTATGAGAAACTACAACTGTTGAGAAATGATTTCTAGGAAATCCATACCTATAAGGATAACCAGATGGAAAAAATTTATTCAGAAAGGATTCAACCATTCTCTGTGCAACTGGTCTTGAGTCATCAACCATCTTGACCTGTAAAGAGACATAGAAGTAAGTGTCTATTTGAAAGGCAAGTAAAGTCTTTTGACTAATTAACATGATAAGGAAAACTTAGTGCATGGTAGTAAGTCTCTATTGAGATGCAAGTGAAGTACTTTTTTGATATATTAACAGGACAAGGAAGACGTAGTACAGAGTGGCAAGTCTCTATTTCAGGAGCAATAAACTTCTGATAAATGGAGATGACAAGGAAAATGTACATACTATGTCCAGTGGAACATTCAGGCAGCAAGGAAAAACAACCAGTATAGAATACCTATCACTGGGATGTAATATATACCCATTAACATGCTCAAGATGTTTATAACCCCTCAAAAGTATTACTCTCTCTATTTCAATTTATATGGAGTAGTTTGACCGGGCATGGAGTTTTAACAAAGAGAGGATGATTTTTGAAACTTGTTGTCTTAAATTTGCCATACATGTGTGTGGCAATAAGAGTTATAAAACTTATGATTTTAAATATGTCATAACATTTATGTAGCTATAGAAGCTTGTCCAAAACGTACGCAGAACTTTTTGTAAGCGGTGTCGTATATATATAAATAGAATAAATAAATAAGTAATATTTAATATCATTTTCCTACAAGTTGAAAGCCTTGGTCCAAAGGTTTAGTTGAATATTATTGCAAAGGGAGGTGTAGATTTGATTCTCCTTAGCCTAACATTTTTAACAAAAATGTTCAAAAAATAGAATGTATAGGTCCAGCCTCGAACCTACGACCTCTACAAGCCCAAATATGAGCTTGACCAGTGGACCAAGAAGTACTCTTTGCCAGGAAACGGTATATTGCTTCATTTTTGCAAAATATTAGTATAAACATTTAATTTTTTTCGTGCCAAGGCTTCTACCCATGTGCGTCCGCCCCCGACAAAGGGTAAGTGGGAAATTCAAGTTAAATTAATATTACATAAGGTTTAGGAGCAGTAAAGTTAGCTTGTTCAGATAATAGTTGTGAGAGTGCAATTGTCTTTTAACTAACCGGTAGTTTATTTACTGGGTACCTATTAAAGAAGAATATCTTCAATTTCCAAACCTTTCCGCACAGCCCCGCATCCAATCCCATCCTTGTTCAGCCAAAGTTTGAACTGAACATTTATTGAAATATCACTAATGGCGTTACGTAGTGCAATTACCTAACTAGGCTAATCTTTTTTTCTTCGTTTTACTGGTACATTGGTTACTACAACGAGCAATAAAACGTAAAAAAAAGTGGGGAATTCTTTGGCAAAAGAAAGGAGAACTTACCGACAGCTTACCATCAGGTTCAAATTGGAATTGGCGAGAAACCGAACTGGAGATTTCGACCCAAGAAATTGGCACCTGAGGCGGCAGCTCATCTGCTTCTTTTCTTTGCATCTTTATCTTCTCCAGCAGAAATTTCACCCAAAAATTTTTAAAATGAAAGGGAGACTAATAAAAAGAAAATGTCCCAAGTCTTGAACTAACTAACTGCGAAGAAATGGAATAGAAAAAAATACTAAATAAGACAATAAAAACAAGGATAAGCGAGAGAGTTACCAGTGTTTTCATTTGGAACAAACAGTATTATGAGAAGAAAGAGAAAGACAAAGAGAGAGAGACAGTTCCGCCGGGAAGTTGGGGATATGGGTAGCTATACTGCCAGACGCGGGAGAGGCTAGGTATGGGCTGTCTCTATATCTAGTTATTTTATAAAATTTATACCATACTAATTTTTTGATTACTCTATTTTGCACAAGAATTAGACTTTTTAAAACCATCTCAATTACCTTGATTTTTTCTAAAACTATACGATTCGATTAATTTATGATATTTTTTCTTAAGAATATCATATAGAGTAGCTAGTAAAAGTTAGAACGTAATAAAATTTGTATGGGACTTTGGCAAATATTTTTGGGAAAATTTCACTTAAGAACAACTGCATTCCCTATTTTTCAATTTATAGCCCATATTTTAATTTACAACCAACTAGCCCAAAAATAATGGGCTAAGATTCAACATCCAACTCCGATAGATTTTCAAAAGAGATTTTTTCATGAGAGAAAAACATAAATAGGCAAAATTTAAGAAAAATTTTCAAGAACCTAGCAGCAATTGAGATTTTACATTCATAGCAACTAAATAATTATATTCCCTAGCAACAAGCTTTAAACATTTATTTAAAGCACCCATAATCACGTATTTAAAACATTTATTTCCTTAAGAAAAGGTAATCAAGTTATACTATTCAAAAAGACTTGTACTTAATTATTTCTCACATTGCATAATTTATTCGTTCTTATTTACAGTAAAATAAAATTAATAAATCTGAAATATAACATATATAATTAATATACATACAGAAGGTTAGAATATAACTTTATACTTGCGATAATATACGCTGAATAAATTAAGTATAAATTTATAATATAACTATGTACAAATTATAATAGATAACTATACTCCATGTAAACCATGTATAACTGTATAAGTAAACCAAATAATATACCAAGTAAAAATCATATTAATGTCATATTTTATTATTACTTCTTCACCATTGTATATATTGATTATGTATTAATATTAATAATAGTGGATAATAAAAATACACGTGGAATATATATATATATATATATAGTATTATAATAGTATATAATTATGTATATTAAATATGTATATTCACGATATAATAATGATATTTAATAGTGTATAAATTACTAGTATACTAATATACACAGTATAATGATGGTGTTTTATAGTTTATAAATTACAGTGCTATTCTAAGTATATTAAATTAATGTTATATTTTATCATTCTAGTTTCACTTTAGTTTGTGGTTAAGAATAAATATCCTTGTAGAAGAATATGGCATAAATGAGCGAAATAAAGGAAAAAATCTTTGAGAATTTTGGTAATTGTTGGTTTATGAAAAGAGAGAGAAAATTTACAATCTTTTTACAAAATATAAGTGAGAATGGAAACGATTTCCTTAAAAATTGGATGCTGCCATTTTGAACTTTTAAAATGTGAACGGTTTACTTAGATATTGGGTGCGGCATTTAAGATTTTAAATTGGAACCGATTTCCTTAAATATTGGGTGCGGCATTTAAGGGATTGCAGTTATTTTTCTATAATGCTGTATTTGTAACAAAATCTGCTATTTCTGGAATAAACGAAGAATACTATTAGTTAAGAAAATAATTTTTATAAAGAGATTATCCATGTAAAAAACTCTTTTTTTTTTCACTCCTATACACTATTGGAAACTTTATTACCCTAAATGTTCATGTTTAGTAAATTACCCTACCTACACAAGTTTTGTTTACAAAATATATACATTCCACCTTAAAAGGCTCCCAATCCATTATTAGTGCCTTCAATTAAGGGATTTAGTTACACCATTTTCCTTTTTTTTTCTCCTCTCTCCTCTCTTCTCTCCAGATTCTGTCTTTCTCCTTTATTTTCTCGAATTCCTACAATACAAATTAAAAGTCAGATACTTCCATACAATACCAAACAGAATGCAAATAATTGCCACTCTTTTTAGCAGCAATCCACTAAGAAATGGACAAGATACCCATCAACAATTATTTTAAACTCTATCTTGGCACACTAACTCTTTTTCAAACAAACAGTTAATGATGATAGGCGTCACTTTCATGTTAGAGTGGTTATTCACAATAAAACAATGATGCAGTAGCATAAAAAAAATTAAATCCTTAATTAGTTAGTCCAAAATTTAATTTATATTAAGCTCCTACGACAAACTAAGCTTCTTAACTTGGTTTGAGATTGGTACAATCAAAATGTTAATTAATAAAACAAAACTTTAATATATATTTTTTTACTTTAGATCTGGAGTAGATATGGAGGACAAAGAGCCAATTTTGTCCACATTTTGATTAAAATTTTGTGGGTATGGGCAACTGGTTCACTTGTTGCGTTCAAAGGCGTGAGAAAGTCGCAGGAATCCCTAGAGCTGGAATTTTAACGTTTGCCAACTCTATAGGAACCAGTGGTATTATTCTTCATTCCTGATAAAATTCGACGAAGACACCTTTGCCAAACCCTCTCTCACCTCCCAGTTATATACAACTACAATATAATACCACTTAAATGTAATTTTTATACAAATTTTATACAATATATCTTTTGTATATTTTGCATCTAATTTATACATAGTAAAAATAAATTTCATACAACTAATTATATATTATACAATATATCTACAACTTATCTACAACTTTCACACATTATTTCTACGCAGTTAAATACAACTACAATAACATACAACTTACATACAAATTTTATACAATATGTCTTTTGTATATTTTGTATCTGATTTATACATAGTAAAAACAAATTTCATACAACTAATTATATATTATACAACTTATCTACAACTTATCTACAATTTTCATATATTATTTCTACTCAGTTATATACAACTACAATATCATACAACTAAAAATTTTATACAATGTTGTTCAACTTTCATACAATAGTTAAATAAATAAAAGAAAAATATATAAACAACAGGATACAATTTTTCTACAAATTTACTACAATTTCTGCAGTATAATGTATGTCATGTCTTCTTCTTCTTCTTCTTCTTCTTCTTCTTCTTCTTCTTCTTCTTCTTCAAGTTTCAATCTGAAATTCAACCAAAACCAAGTCTAATCTTCACCAAAACCCCTCAAAATTGAGATATAAACTCCAAATCATATTCCCAATTATTTGCAACAACACCCAATCCAAACAAATAATGATTTTTGAAAATTCAAATTCGAATTCAAAGCTTCAAAGCTTTTTAATGGCTGTCAATAGTGGAATTGCTGCTCTCTTTTCCTTTGCTTTACATTACTGAAATTTGGGATTGAGAGATAGAGAGAGACGTAGAGAGAATTCTCAATTCTTTGCAACAACATCCAATCCAAACAAACAATGTTTTTTGAAAACCCAAATTTGAATTCAAAGCTTCAAAACTTTTTAATGGTTGTCAATGGTGGAATTGCTGCTCTCTTGTGCAAGATACGTGGGGAGGGAGGGGTGGGATATGGAGAGAGAAATGTGGGGGAGTGGAAGATATGTTAGAGTAATTTTAGGACACTAATTATTATCATTAATTCCCTTAAAACGTACATAAATGGTAATTGGGTATATAAAATGTAATTATAGTAAAACTTGAGTAGGGAGGGTAATATAGTTTCATATAGTGTATAGGAATGTAAAAATTTCTTTAATTACTATTTAATTTTTAAAAAAGATTTCTTAAGCTTTGAAGTTAATTTTGGAATCAGTAACTATGACTCAAATATTAGTTGAACAAACCAAATCTATTTGGGTGGTGAAAATTAGATTTTTAACAAACTTAAATATGTGAGCTTAAATTCCGAATTTGATTTTGTAAGAAATTTGGAGTAGGTGTTATTTAGACTTGTTAGAAATAGTATAACCGTATATAAAATTTGATGTCATTTAATGGAGATTTGGACTGGTTTTGAACAAGAATTGCAACTGAAAAATGTGGAAGAAGTTCATCTACAGACGCTTTTATAAAGGTGTATAATAGTGTATAAGATGTGTTTATACACATATACACTATTATACAAGATTATACAAAAAACTGACTTCATCTTCTTCCTTGCGTCTTTTCTGAAATTTAACTCAAATCTTGCTCAAATCTACTCCAAATCACTTCAAATTTAAATTTTGAAATCCTTTTGATATTTTCAATCAATTGGAACAACACCCAATCCAAACAACTAACAAACTCAAAAAAATTCTATTTTTGAAAGTAAAGCTTTGAATGGCTTTCAATGGCGGACTTCTACTCTTTAATTTTTTTACGTTGCAACCAGGTGACATAGGGGAAGAAGCAGTAATGGCGAACGAGCCCTAGCATATATAAAAGATGTGAGAAGAAGAGAGAGTGAAAGCAATAGTTGTGAGAACACAAATTTAACTCCATAGCTTTTAGAAGCAATGATTGTAAGAATACAGATTTTGAATTTGCAAGAGCTAGTGTTTTCAAAATATGTACAATATGGGCTAGGTCTGGTAAAGCTTAAAAACATGAGCCATTTTTTGTAATGGCGTGAAGTCATGTGTATTTTCTTTTAATTCTTTCATTTTCTTTTTAATATATTTTTACTATTTTAAGGGTGATGAATCAAGAAAAAATAAAATATTTCTAGAATAAATCTAGATTCGTCTCACTATTTTATAACAACATAAACAAATTAAGCAAAAACAAGAGCAATATAAATTACACAAGTAGAAAGATATTAATTAAGAGGGTATTTGGATTGGCTTATTTTAAGTGCTTATTGGTTTTTAAGCACTTTTTTAGTTTATGTGGTGTTTGACAATGATAAAAAGTGCTTAAAAGCACTTACTTTTAGGCATAAAAAAGTACAAAAATAAGCCAAAATCAAAAGTTGGGTATTACCAACTTATGGCTTTTGGCTTTTAGCTTAAAAGCTACTTTTTATAAGCCAATCCAAACATCCCCTAAGTTGGAACTCAAAAATAGAGTTATTAAAACATTAAGTATCCAACAAGAGAAATCTAAAAGAAATCCAATATCTTGTGTCTTGCTACTCAAGATAATTGGAATACCTGGTGCATTGCTACTCAAGATGCAAGAATTAATTTAATTGTAATAGAAGTAGC